CTTTAAATACCTAAAATTCTAATTGCATTCACTTAAATAACCAATCCTAATTCAAATTCGCTTTGAATTTGAATTTGATTGGTCACATATAAATTAGTTTTTTTGATCAATTATTTAATTCTTATTTCAAAATTTAAATTTAATATACATTATTTCACAGATTCAGATTTAGATATATTGATACATGAACCAAGTGCAATTCAATAAAAATTATGTGTATAAATATATATTTAGTATGAAATTACACAATTATTTCGTAAATGAGTTAAAATTTAAATGAAAATTTAATAAAATTTATCTAAAATTTAATTATAAGGATGGAATTAGATTCTAATTTTTAACAAAGTGCGATATAGATTATGAACATATATACCATTGTATATTCAAAAAAAATTTGGACAAGAGTTTTCAAATCGGATCAGATTAATTTGATCTGTTGATACGATAAGTGAAAAACAAGAGGTAATCAATGGTATTTTGGTGATTTAAGGATGAAGGGCAAAGAAGGAATATAATGTATATAAGATTTTATAAGAATATATTATCAAAAATAGGATTTCACCGTCTTAACAGAAATATTATAGGACTTAATATTTTTTAAAACAAAAAGTATGATTTATTTTAAATTTACCCTTATTTAAATGCTAAAAGGGTTTTTTTGTAAAATTTTATTCCTTTCCAGTCAAAAAAAAAAAAAAGGATTTAGCTGAAAGGTGGAAAGGATTATTCATTCTATTCTAGTCCTTAGTCTTGATTATTGTTAAACATTGTAACGGTAATAAAGACTCTACTGTAACCATTAGCTGCGTACCAANAAAAGAGGTAATAAGTGAGTCTTTGTAGGGTATTTCAATCATGAAAAAAACAAGAGTTGTGTAGCTGCCAACATTGTGTTATTTGCCTATTAATAGAAGTATTTCTAATGCTACTAGACAACAACTTGGATCTTACTGTGTTTGTTATGATTTTTTGGAGTGCGACTGGGTCTTTGTACTCATTCTTGAAAACTCAAACGCTACGTTTGGNTACTAGACAACAACTTGGATCTTACTGTGTTTGTTATGATTTTTTGGAGTGCGACTGGGTCTTTGTACTCATTCTTGAAAACTCAAACGCTACGTTTGGTATGTAAGATTAGATTTGGGGAATGAAATGATCATTACTTAGGAATGCTCATTCTATTGTTTGGTTTGTGGTAATGAAAATTTAATCTCATTCCTTAGGAATGGCGAATCCCACAAAACATAGGATTAGTGATTACCTTAAACATGGTATTACCCATTCTCAAATAGGTCCCAAATTCATCTAAACAAAAATTCCGATCGTCCCAACTCTCTTCCCCTTCTTTGTTCTCATCTCACTATTCATCTTATTCCTCACCATTCAATCCCACCTCTCTCTCTCTCTCTCTCTCTCTCTTTGTGTGTCTCTCTCTCCTCACATCTCCTCTTTTGTTATGGGAGGGGAGAAACTATGTAAATCGTCCCTCATGATTATTCACATGGAGCACAAGACATTACTTAGAGGGGGGATGAATACGTTTTTGAATTTTAAGCACAATTGATTACCAATTAAAATCTAATCCATCACAATTAACTCTTCTCATACAAACTTAATAATGAAAATCTCTTTTAATTATCACAAACCCATACACCCATAACGATTGATGTTAATTAATATATACTTAATCCACTCAAACAATCAATCTCATGGTGATCCTCACACTCAAAATCCAAAACCCTAACACAACTATAGATAAATAGATTTCAATCAATCATACATACAAATACATAGTACGCGTACATGCTAATAAATGCAAGTGTATATGTAACTAAACAAGTTGAACACAAGCAATTTGTTGATACAAAAAACCCTCATAAAAAAAACTGTGGGGAACCACTTAAGGTTTACCAAAGTTTAATCTAATACTCTCAAAGGCAATCTACAAGTACTTGAATCTTATACCTCAACCAATATCATGGTTAAATGCTCATTTCATTCATAGATCTCTTTGTCAAAAATTCCTCTCCAACGTCTTGTGTAACTTCACTTGAACTCTCTGCTGCACTTTTCATTTAGGCCTTGAGCAATCATGAGCACGCCAATGATTTTCAGTATTCACACGCCAAAGGGTTTGATTTAAACCATCACGGACTTCAACATCAAGTTGTGAGGTTGAGTAGAATCTATAGTGGTAGCCTTGGATCTTAGGGATCTAGGGTTATGGTGGAAGTTGTCTAGGTAGAATATGAGTTTTCTATTTGAAAAGGCTTACAAGAGGTTTATCCTAGTTAAAGAAAATACTCTTCCTATTTTATAGGTTATGAATAAAGGTATAATCTTGGTTAACAAGAAAACTAAGATTCACAAACGACTGCTCGATCGATAGGAGGGCGATCATAGAGCAGTGGTCATGCGAATGAAAATTGAATTCCAATCCTGGCCAATGAACACAGACCACTCGAGTGACCATGAGACCACTTGAGTGATGGTCAAGGCCGCTCAAGCTAAAAGAGACTGCTCTAGCGAATGCTAGCGAACATAAGGTGGTCTCTACTAATTTTTAAAGTAAAAAATTTGTCCTCTTGAGCACTAAAGGTGTTGCTTAAGAGAGGTCTGCTAGTGCCTCAAACTTTGTTTTCAAAATACAAAACAATTTTAGAAAATCTTTTCATTTAAAATCACCTAAGAGCCATATACGCATTAATCCCTAATTTTATTTTAATTCTAATCGTCCTAAGTTAATTAAACCAAGGGATCATTTTAGGTATCAGGTCATCACCTTTGTCATAAGCTTTTAGGTGCAACTAAGGTGTGAATGATGTAGCTTTTGACACTTGATCTCCCCCTTCTAATGACGCTTTCGGATCTTTAATCTTGATAGCATCATGACCATAGAATAGGTTTAAATTTACAATGAATTTCACAAAATTAGCCGATTACAAATGTATCTAACAACCTCAATGGCTATTCCTCTCTCACTAGGAACCATGATAATACCTTTGTTCTTGCCTCTTCCTCGTGTCCTCATGACACAAGGGACCATAACGACGACCATACAAGATTTGACCTTGCCACTAATCTCTGGTAATTCTTCAATTAATTTCATCAAAAATCTTAGATTTGTTTTAGAGTTTTGTAAGGGTTAACATATTTGCTTTCTTCTTCATTTCCCGAACACATAATCATCAAAGACAATGTTATTAGAGAATATAATGTAGTATTAGATTTAAACTCCTTGGGATTGATACATTGGTTCTCCTTTATTTTTATTTATTTATTTTTAAATGTTTGTTTCTTTGTGCCAATTTAGATTGTCTGCCAACTATATGCTAAAAGTACCATTAGAAATGAGAGGGAAAAAAAAGAGTGAATACATGATAATATGAATTACACTTACACAATTCAAATTAGTGGGTGGCTTGACTGTTAACTCTCAATTTTAATCCCCCATTTACTGCTATTGTGTAATGGCTAATGTTGATTTGTGTTTGTTGTCCTTAGCTAGGAAGCTGCCAAACTATGGTATATGGAGTTGATATTATGATTTTGATTTGAAGTTTGAGTTCTAATTGATATATACTTGTTTCCCGTAAACAGGATATATGATTTATCACCCGACTAAACTACAAAAAGATCAATAAGACAAAAAAGTGAAAACATTTAAAGNAAAGATCAATAAGACAAAAAAGCGAAAACATTTAAAGAAAAAAAAAATCTGATACAAAATGGTCTTTGAATTTGTAAAATTACCGCCACTACCACCTCGGCCATTACCATGTTGCTGTCCTTGCCAATATCTTGCTCTGAGTGGGCCTCTAGTATGAAATTCTTGAGACATGACACAAGCACTTTTTGCCAATATATCTACGGTAAAACTGCAATCAACAAAAGTTTTCCTACTCCCAGTTTTCAATACCCCAATTTTCATTTGCATAAGGACAATCATCAATAGAGATAACAAGATGTGTTTCTTTTGAATATGTGCAATTCATGCCCTTCTCAATCTCTTCAGGCAAAGCAATTTTTGAACCATTTAATATTATCTGAATGGTGTTTGAATTCTTGGCGCTTTGATTGAATGGTGGATATTTTCATACAACAATTTCTTTCTTCCTAAAAGAGAGGGATGCATCGCCATGTTGATCATAGAAACTGCTCTTGTGTTGATTAGGATTTTGGGCTTTCAATCTAATGTTGTACTGTGGGTGTTGTTGATGATGACGATCAGGTGGATCAGTGACAAGGAAATGCCCAACGATAAACGAAGGATTGTCATGCTCAAGAAAAAAAGTGGTGACGTGACCCCTTCTACTAGGCCAAAAACTAGGACAATGACAACTGCAAAGTGGCTAAAAAAACACCAACTACAACACCACCATCTCTTTTTGTTGAGGTGCGTGCATTTATTCATTGGGCTAGCACAACATGTTCGGGTGGTGGAATGCGATCTTTGGGATCCTGGACATGTGTTCTAGAGTGAAAGATGGACTGAGATGTTTCGGGGGAAGGATCATGGTTTGCACTCTCTGCTGGTGTGGGTATTTTTCGTTCGAGGGGTGGTGGCAGTAGGGTATTTGGTGGTCCGTGTGTGTTTATGAGTTCATGTTTGTGAATTGTGCATACATGTTGAAAATTTTTTTTGGGTCTTATTTTTAGAACAAATACTGTCCAAATTTTTCAAAATTTATTGGCATTCAACATCCTATGGATTCTCGATTTTGCTAAATTTTGAATTTTCATCGATACTATTTAGGATAATGGATGGTGAACAAATTTATTTGGATCGTGTTTGGTTTTTTAAGTTGATGTTTACCACTAATTTCAATTATATATTTTGGCAAGTTTGTTAGTTTTGTGATTGTTTACGATTGTTTTGGAAAGGTAGTTTATCTGGTTTGTTAAGTTTGATAATTAATAGGTGTACTTGCTTCAAAAGAGATTTGTTACCCAAACTAAGTTACAAATTATATATTGTAAAATATTTTTAATTTAATAAAAAATAGCTGTTAAATGTTTTTATTTCATCTAATATAATTTAGTCAAAGATTTCACAGGATAACTATTCAAAATAATTTTTCCAAAAAACACGATGAGTGCTCTTCGTTCTCAGCCACCATGAAACCCACCCAATCCACCTTCACCACTGATTCTATTTGTCGTTCATACAAATCGGATACCAACTCACCCCCAATTCCACCTTCCCTTTATCTCTCTGTTTACTCCTTTATCCTTTATCTATTTCTCACAGACCCAAAACCCCTCTTTATTCCTCACTTACCTTGCTTTACCACCACATTTGAACCATTGACCCTACAGCCATTAAAGCCAGGATTGTTAGTAGATCTGGAATTACTAAGCTACCGGAAGCTCGTGTAAATGCCAAAGTGAACCCAGATGGGACAAAGGAGCTGAGCTCTAATGCTCCACTTGGAAGCCACTTAAGAGATAAGGGAATAACAGGACAAACACAAGTGCAAACAGGGGAGGTGGCGATTGGTGAAATTCCTCTTGCTGACATATCGAGATCTAGCGGTGAAACTTCAAAAAAGCCGGTAGATGTTGATGTGTTGCCAAAAGACAAGCAAAACTGGACAAAGACTCAACCTAACCTGTCGGAGGCCCAGCAAAAACATCACGAACCTAGAACACCTTTGAACCAGGTCCTTATAGAAGGATGAGCAGCAAACCACTTTGCCAGTCAGAATGAAAGCCAAACCCAGGTAATGAAACTCCAATTTTTTGAGCCAAAAATGGAAAATAATAGAATTGTGGTCCATCCCCCTAAAGAAATTGGTAGGCAAGGATGTATTGAATGGCAGAACTGTCTTGTGGGACACTTCATTGAAAAGAAGCTTCCTTTTACCACTGTGAGTTACCTGGCACACAAAATGTGAGATAGTCAAGGTCTTTTGGAGGTATTGGCAAAAGACAATGGATTTTATTACTTCAAATTCATGAATGATGAATCTAGAACAAAAATCTTTGAGTTTGGACCTTGGCTGCTATCAGGTAGGCCATTAATACTTCAGAAATGGCAACCAAATCTATTGTTAACCAGGGAGAATCACTCCATAATCCCATTGTGGATTAAACTCTACAATATTCCCCTCCAATTTTGGAATGAGAAAGGCCTGAATTACATAGCGAGTGCTGTTGGGAAACCTCTATATGCTAATACGCCCACTTCCAAGAAACAGAGAATAAACTTTGCAAGAATCTATGTTGAAGTGAATGCCAAAAATCCTTTAATTGATGTCTTTGATCCAAATGTGGATATTAATGGGATGGTTGAAACTATGGAAATAAAGGTAGAATACCAATAGAAGCCTAAGATGTGTGATACATGTAATGTTTTTGGGCACAATGAGTCCTTATGCCCCAAAATGATGTCTAAGGCTAAAATTGTTGTGGAGGAGCAAGCTTCTGTTCAAAATCTGTGCACAGACCAACCAGTCTTGTTTATAGACAAGGGCAAAGCAATGACATTTGTAGTGCTTGATACTGAAACTGTGGAGACTAATAAAAAGAGAGCTGCAGACAACCTTTTGGTGCCTGGTACTGGGATTGAAGGGCATCCCCAAATTGACATTCAAGTCACATAAATCATAGTGAAGCAAGTTGCCTCCCCCTATCAGGACATTGGGAGGATTACATCCAGGAACAAATTTGCGGACCTAAGTCTAGAGGGAGGCGAAATCATTGTGGACCTAGTTGTTGAAACTCTTCCTAGTACCTCATTATGCAATGAGGGGCCTAAGGAGAATGAAAAAACAAATGGAAATATACATCCACTGGGAATAAAAAAAGAAGAAAGTGAAAAAGAAAGCCCATGAAATGGGGAAATCTAAGGTGACTGAGCACCTAATTCTCAGGAAAGTTCTCCCCCCTCAATGAAGCTTGCATGGTGGAACATTAGAGGACTTAACAAGCCCTCAAAGCATGAAGAAGCCAGGAAGTTGATAGTGGACCAACAGCTTAACCTTTTGGGAATTGTTGAAACAAAAGTCAAGAGTGTGAATAAAGACAGGTGGATGCATAATGTGTTTCGAAATTGGGACTACTTGGCAAATTATGATAGCCAACATTTTGGAAGAATCTGGATTGGATGGAACACAAATACAGTGGAAATTAATAAAATTGAGGAAACTGACCAAGTGATACATTGCTTAGTCAAACACTTTGAAAGCAACTCACAATTTTTTGCTTCTTTTGTCTATGGGTCAAATGATGACATTGAGAGGAGAACTCTGTGGAGGGGGCTTAGGCACCACTCAAATTTTGTTGCTACTGAACCATGGGTTGCTTAGGAGACTTCAACGCTATCAGAACACCAAGTGAAACTACGGGGTGTCAAAGTAGTTGGTGTCAATCAATGGAGGATTTTGACATTTGTTTTCAAGATTCAGAACTTATGGATCTTAGGTATACTAGTATTCAATTTACTTAGAGCAACAGAAGAGAAGGGGAAGCCGTCGTGGCTAGAAAGCTGGATAGAGTTCTGGTTAACGAAGCTTGGACTAGCAGATTCGAAATGTCTACGGCAGATTTTCTTCCTGCTATTGTTTTTTATCATAGCCCTGCAATTGTCCAAATTGGTCCAAGGCTCCCCAAAAGAAAATGCCCCTTTAAAATTTTCAATCACATTGCAGCAAGAGAGGACTTTTTAGACCTTGTTCAGCAGATCTAGGTTCAAAATGTCCAAGGAAGTTACCAGTTTCAAGTTGTCAGCATGCTTAAAGGTCTCAAAATTATTTTTAAAGGGATTACCAAGGAAGTTGGGGATGTTTCAGTGAGAGGCAAGAGAAGCTTTAAGGAGATGCTAAAGAAAATTGGACACTAACCCAACTAATTCTGCATAGAGACAAGAAGAAAGACAACTCCTGAAGGATTATTTTCAAGCTGCCAATGATGAAGAAATTTTTTATAAGTATAAATCCAGAGTTCAATGGCTCAAAGAAGGTGACATAAACACTTCATATTTTTTCAAGACAATGAATAACATAAGAAATAGGAAAAATATATTTACGCTCGATAGGGTGGATGGTTGAAAGGCAAAAGGAGAAAATGTAGTGAAGGAAAAAGTTGTTAATTATTATGTCAACTTGTTTGGCCAAGCTAGACTTTCAGCCCCAGTCCAGGAGCGAAGTGTTGGTATGCAGTCAGTGGTTCAAAGCAAAATCTCTCCACACATTGCTGCTGATATGGTTAGAAAGGTGTCTAATGAATAAATCAAGGAGGTACTCTTCTCTCTAAATGACTATAAGGCTCCCGGCCCAGATGGGTTTAATGCTCTATTTTTTAAGAAAGCTTGACCTATCATTGGGCATGATATTACTGAAGCAATTAAAGATTTCTTGACTACTGGTCAGTTACTTAGGGAGCTAAATAACACTATCATCTCCTTGGTCCCCAAAATTCCAAACCCCTCAGCTATGGGGAATTTCAGTCCAATCTCATGTTGTAACACTCTTTATGAGGCTATCTCAAAGCTTATAGCAAACAGAATCAAAAAATGTCTTCCAAACCTTATCAATCCTAACCAAGCAGCCTTCATCCAAGGTAGAAGAATTGGGGACAACATCATGTTAACTCAGGAGCTTATGAGAGACTACCATAGAGATTCAGGTCCCCCCAGATGTGCACTAAAAGTTGACATTAAGAAAGCCTGTGACACTGTCCAGTGGGATTTTCTGTTTGATGCCTTGGAAACTTTTAATTTTCCAATGACAATGAGGAAATGGATCAATGCTTGCATTACTACAGCCATGTTCTCAGTTAATGTGAATGGTGAGCTAGCTAGTTACTTCTCTAATGCTAGAGGGTTGAGACAGGGAGGCCCATTATCTCCCTACCTTTTTATAATTGCCATGGAGTTTCTGTCCCTGATAACACAACACAACATAAATTCCAACCCCTAGTTTAAGTATCATTGGAGATGCTCTAGGCTCAAGATGTTTCAGCTCTCCTTTACTGACGATCTGATGTTATTTTGTCATAGTGATGTGATCTCTGTTCAAAGGTTGACGAGATCTCTAGACCAATTGGGTCAACTCTCTGGCTTACTTCCCAATATTGAAAAGAGCAATATATATTTAAGTGTTGTTCCTGAGGGGGAGGGGTCACATATCATAGAGATACTTGGGTTCTCTATGGGTGACTTACCTATCAAATACCTTGGAGTTCCACTAGTTTCCACCAAGCTTAAGGCTCAACACTGCATGGGCCTCATTGAAAAGGTTGACAACAAGGTTAAATCTTGGCTCAACAATTCCTATCCTATGCAAGAAGGCTTCAGCTGGTAATTTATGTGTTTAGTAGCATGCATGTTTTTTGGGCTACTCACTTGAGCTTACCATAGAAAGTGTTAGACAACCTTGAACAAACTTTGATGGCCTTTATTTGGAAGGGTCCTGAGCTCAAATACACTGGAGCTAAAGTTGCATGGAATGATGTTTGCAAGCCAAAAAGTAAGGGTGGTCTGGGTATAAAAGGGTTGAAGGAATGGAATAATTCTTTACTCCTGAGACATCTGTGGCAATTGTTTAATAACAAGGAAAACCTATGAACCCAATGGATACATGTTTACTATATTAGGGATAGAAGCTTATGGGAGCTTAAAACTCCACAATCCTGCTCACACACTTTGAGGAACCTATTAAAACTTTGGGAAATCCTAAGACCTATAATGGTGCACATTGTAAGGAATGGACAACACACAAGCTTTTGGCATGACAACTGGCATCCATATGGACCCCTATTACCAAGAAATAGCTCTGATATAGTGCAACAAGTAAGAATTCCAAGGGAAGCAAGAGTCAGTAGAGTTATTGCCAACAACCAATGGAACATAACTACTTCAACTCATCTGAGTGTTCAGGATATCTTTAACAACATGTCAATCTACCTCCCTGATCAAACCAAAAATGATTTTGTGAGATAGTCCCTTACCACTTATGGGAATTTCTCTGCCAAATCTGCATGGGATCACTTGAGGATTGCAACTAGAATGGTTTCTTGGCATAATTTGGTTTGGTTTGGTC